TCACGTAAAGTTGTTTGTGCAATCTTTGCTTTCAGTATTTATTTTACTGTCTGTTATTGTAACTGTGTTGAGGACCTGGTCCCATCGATATTCGTGGACGCATACATTCCAACAGAGGGAGTTGCTCGGATAACAAGCACCCTTTAGGAACCACAGTAACGACTTCCTTTTTCAGTTTTAAATGCTACAGTAGTATATAACAGTGCACTAAATATCATTGCAAAATAAAATTGTTTCAGTTGTAATTTATCTTTACTCAAATGGAATGTAGCATGAAAAGATTCTAATTTCTCTGCTCTTATACATGTAAGGTGTAAGTTACATAAATACAATTATTATTATTTTACATTCAACTGTGCAACACTATCATAGTATTATTTAGAAATTAGGTACATATCAATCTCTATAGTAAACTTAGACTGATTATTCAATAAGTAAATTACCTTAAGTAAAATGATTTATGTTGGTATGGTAAAACTGTCTTTACCGTCTATTTCAATTTGTGTTTAGTTTAACTTGACACAAAATTTAAGAAGATAAAAAAAGAGTTTTGAATCTTGTGATATAACATAACAAAATATTTTTTAATTTTATGATCTTTAACAAGCCACGTGAGATTAAATTTAAAAATTTATCGAATTAAAAAAAAAAAAACGAATAAAGGAAAAAGTTGTAAAGAGGGGGAGTTGTTTGACTAAAAAATTTCATCTGGGCCCCTTCGTAGATCTAAATAAGGCCCGCGTTTGGCAAAACGGGCCTCGCGGGAAACGTAAATAAAAGCCCATTACTACCAAAATTTACGCGCCTCATTTTTGGTGCGTGCGAATATTTAAAACTTGTTTTTTTTTCTCTTACTACTTTCCCTTTTCTCTTTTTTACTTTTTTTCCTTTTGATTTTATCGGGAAGTAAAGAGCAAATTGTGCTGTTCCTTTTTGGCATTCTTTACTCTTTATTCTTGGAGACTAGCGACTTGTCACTGCCTCACTTTGGCTCTTCCAAATCTGTCTCTTTCTTTTTCCAGTTCAGAACAACACCCCACCCCCACCAAATCTCAACCCCCTTGCAGCCACTTTGTCAGTATATATATATAGTTGTATGTATAATTTGCTGTATGAGATATTCAGAGAGAGATTAAGAGTTGTACATGCTCAAAGATTCAATCTGTACTTTGTTTTTTTGTCTTCCCATATTAGAGGTTCTTAGATCCACCTTAATCTTGGATTCTTGTTTTTGCTGAGGCAAGAAAAGATTCCATTTTTTTCAAAGGTCTTTGTGTATTCAGTCTTGGTTGCTATTTGTGGCTATTTGGGTGTCTTGTCAGCTAAAGATTTGGCCTTTATCTTTTTTCTGTCTGGGTAATTTGTCATCATCTTTCTGTTTATTGTACAATTCTTGAACAAATTGCTGCTTTAAGCAACAGCCAGCTTGCTGCAAGGCTGCAACCTCTAATGCTTTGAAAGAAGTCTTTTATTTTTGAGACGGTGAAAACATTTAAGTAGTTCCAACTTTGGTTTTTCTTGAAATGTGCTCAAGATGATCTGTTTATTTAGTGAAGTTAGAAGAGTGCAAAGATTGGATTTTGGGCATACCCATTTGAAAATGTCATGGATTCACCATAAGAAAGGTGGTGTCTTTGCATATGCCCCTTCTCTATCTCCCACATCTCACTCTTCATTAGGTGCAAATTCTAATTTTCACAAAGCACCAAGCCTTTCTCCATCTTCTTCTGGGAACAAAATTAGTCCAGCTGTTCTTATCATTATAGTCATATTAGCTGTTATCTTTTTCATATCAGGTCTTCTCCACTTGCTTGTTAGATTTGTTATCAAACACCCTTCTTCTTCTTCTTCTTCTTCACCATCATCATCTCAGTCTAATACACAGCCAGAAGTTTCTAGCTCTGAGGCCTTGCAAAGACAATTGCAGCAGCTTTTCCATCAACATGAGTCTGGTCTTGATCAAGCTTTTATTGATGCATTACCTGTCTTTGTGTACAAAGAAGTTGTTGTTGGTCCTACTAAAGAGCCCTTTGATTGTGCTGTTTGTTTGTGTGAATTCTCTGAAAAGGACAAGTTGAGATTACTCCCAACTTGCAGCCATGCTTTCCATATCAACTGCATAGATACATGGCTCTTAACAAACTCAACATGCCCCTTATGTAGAGGAACCCTTTTCGATCCCGGATTCTTAACAGGTTTTGATTTTGATAGCCCCATAGAAGAAGATGGATGTGCTGGTAATAGAGATCATGTGTTGTCTGCTGCTCAGAAAACAATTGAAATTGAGGAAGTTGCAGTTGATAAAGCAACATTTCCTGTGAGACTTGGTAAGTTTAAAAAATTGAATGTTGGTGCAGAGGAGGGAGAAGGAGAAGGAGAGAGTAGTAGTAGTAATTTGGATGCTAGGAGATGCTATTCATTGGGTTCATATCAGTATGTGGTGGGTGATTTTAATCTTATGGTAGACTTGAGCAGTGAGCAAAACGCGTACAATGTGAAGCTTGCCAAGTTGCGTGAACGTTGTGCTAATTTATCAATAGAAGGTGATGGGGATGGGAAAAGGATAGGCATTGGAACGAAGACGGATAGCTATTCTTTTTCCAAGATTTGGCTTTGGTCTAAGAAAGGGAAATTTGCAAGTTCTTCAGAATGTCAATTGGAGAATCCGCGTCCTAATATGGACTTACCATGGTTGGCAAAAACAGAAGACAGTTAAAGGACATTATGGTTTGGTTTCTTTGTTGATCTTTTTGTTATCTGATGGCATAGAGGTACTGGAATTCTTTGATATGCTACATATTAACAATCTGAGATTGAAGAATCGATACATTCTTGTATGCTGTGATTGCTTGTATTTGTATTTGATCTCTTGAAGTCCTACAACATAGTCATCTCTGAGCAGAGGGTCTATCAGAAACAACCTCCCTATCCTTACTATGTAGAAGTAAGGTTTGCGTACGCTCTACACCTCTTCAGACCCACATGTTGGATTATATTGAATATGTTGTTGTTGAATCTTGAAATGTTAATTACTCTATTAGACACGAGTCACTCGACACTGGCTTCTTTGCTGCATCCTGATACTTGCAGTTGCCAAATTTATTTTATATCAATATGGTTGAGAAGCATTCTTGTAATCAGAAGTATGAGGTGCTATCTTTAGCCATGATGAGCTAAGATTAGAGATGATGCACAATATGTATTGCCTGTGTTACAAACAACCTTAAACATGTCTAGAAATTGGAATATAACCCCTTTAGAAGTGTCCTGTCTGTCCTCAACCATATAAAGCTTGTGTGCTGTTTAATGTTTTTAAAAGTAAAATGGAATGCTAGATTCTGAGAACAATTGACTGCTATATTTCCACATAGTTCTAAACAATCTTTGAGTCTCAGCCTCTCAGGAAAGTGAAACTCCACTAGGTTATCTTGATTCCTAGTAAATGAAAGAAAGATTTTCTTTTTTCCATGAAGCATCTTGATTGATTTAGCAAGTGTGTGTGTGTGTGTGTGTGGGGGGGGGGGGGGGGGTAGGTTTTTACCACAATCTTTTGTGTTTTAATAGTGGTGGGATCCAAGAAAGGTATTGCTGTAGTATTACCCCTTTACTGGAATCACTTCATGTCATTTGACTTCTTAAAATAGTGCAGTTAGATTTCATCCTGCTATCTTTATTTACTTTTTTGTTCTGCTGCTAAGTAACACTAATCATGCTTAATCTTAGTACGTTGATCATAATTCTACTTTGGGAAAAGATGCAAAGAAACCCCACCTTTGTGATTTAGATCTATATACCCTTCGTTAAATAAGTGACACATATATACATTTACCGTTTAACAAATATAACATATTTACACTTCTTATTAACAAACTCATAGTTATTGAATTGAAAAAAAATAATCATAAATTGGTTTTTAATTCCAAAAATATCATGTGTCTTTAAAAAAGTTCTTTTACCCCTCCAGACTTGGCCCAACCGAAGAAAATAGGTTATGTGATTTTTTAAAGCCACATAAAATTTTTGGAATTAAAAAGAAAATCAATTTTAGGATTTTTTTTTTAATTCAATAAGTTTGTAAGACGTCGAAAGTATATATGTGCTACTTTTAATGAGAAGTACATCAGCTTTAAATTGTAAAATTTGGGGTATATTTGTCTTTTTACCCTCTTTTTTTTTAGTTTTGATCTTTATGACAAGAGGTCGGGTTTCTCAGATTGATAAGCATCCTCTACCTCGAACACTAAGATAGTAGGTTCAAGTCACAAAAGGTGGGAAGCTTCTTTTACTGGTTTTCTGTCCCGCACTTGGTTCTCCCTTATTATAAAAATGAGAAGAGAAAGAGAGACAAATAAGCAGAAGCTTCAAAGCAAACAGAGAGGCATAGTAATTGGTGTGTACGACTACTTCATGGATTGAAATTAATCATAGTTTGATATAGTTAAATTATGGTGAATCATCGTGGGGGTTGGGTGTTCAATTTGAAATGACAATATTTCTCCTTTTTTGTGTTGTTATATAATACGCACGGTACTAAAAAAGCAGAAATTAAGCAGGTGCATGATGGAAAAGAGAAAATGAAATATAGATGTTTCTTAGAATGGCCTACCAAAAATATCAACATTTAGTGATCTGAGAGCAATAATAGATGCATGTCACGTGTTTGCGTATAATTTTTTTTTTAATCACTGAACTATTATAATTTATATACCTTTTACTTCATTTAATTATGAGATTGTAAATAACACAGATGAAATTCTATTCTGATGCATTCTGTTCTGTATGATTCTTCAAGTGATCTTCATTTTCTTTAGTAAATGACTTACCTTCTGGAAAGCATTTAAACACGATAATCCAAAACTTCAAATCTTGGATCAAACATGACCTCATCAGAAATCCAAAGGGATGCTCAATCCATTTTGACAAACTAAACGAAAAACAGAATAAAAGACACACAAATTTATTTCATGAAAGAAGATATAGTAATACTCCCATAAGAAAATCACAATTCAAACACTTTTACTTTCAGTTAACTCTACAATCAGCTCATTCAACGTTTGCCATGATGATCCACCTTCTTTTACAGCATTAATGGCTGCTTCTCCAATCTCCTTCACTTTCTTCCTTGCCTCTTTGCCTATATCTCCTTCCATCAACTCCTTTGCTGACTTTTCCAGTCCTTCCCACTTGACGAACCCTCTCACTGACCCATCACACGTCTCAGCCCTTAGTCCAATCTTGATTACCTCCACCACCATTCTTGCATTCAGGTGTTGATCTGCCATCATTGGCCATGCCAGTATAGGCACCTTCGCGCATATGCTCTCTATCACTGAATTCCAACCGCAGTGGCTTAGAAAACCTTCAACGCTTCTGTGCCTCAGGATTTCTCTTTGATCAACCCACTCTGTTACCACCAGTCCCCTGTTTTTTACTCTGTTTTCAAACTCGTCGTCAGTTTCATCTATGGTTCTCCTGACTACCCATAAAAAGTTGACTTGGGATTTCTCCAACCCAATTTTGATTTCCTTGAATTGTTCAGGAGATAACTCTGCTTGGGTCCCAAATGCCACGTATAAAACTTGCTTCCCCTGTTCTAGCATTCCGTCAAGCCATTTGATGTACGAAGGTTTCTCTGAGACTCCCTGTTGTTCTTTTGCCGGCTCGTGAAACGCACATAAAGGTCCAATGCACCATGATTTAGGACTAGATATACGGTTACAACAGTTTGCATAAACAGATTCAAGCTCGTAAAAGCTGTTGACAAGTAGACCATAGCTTTTAGAGGTCGGCGTGGATTGCTCCTTGATAAAATCGAAAAGGGGTCCTTTGGGTTCCCGGTCTCTGAAGGGTAAATCAAAGTCATTCCTAGTGATTTTAATCCAGGGGAAATCAGGGACTTCAAATAGCTCATCATCAGACACTTGTGTCCTAAGAACTGAAGTAGCTGACATCGTCAAGACCTTGAAAATGCATTCATGCCAAAATAAACGAGTCTTGGGATACCAAATTTGTTTGCAGAATCGAATGTCCAGCTGAGAAAGCCATCAGTAATCATGAAAGCAACTGGAGGAAGAGACTCCAATGCCTTCTCGAAATGGGGTTTCATCAATTTAGTGGCGTTGGCAAAAGTAGCAAAAAGAGACATGGATGGAAGTTTATCAGTGCTCTCTACACCTGGGGGAATTCCTTGTATGTTTTGAGGAAAAGGGATTTCGATGATATTGATGTTGGTGCCAGAAAGGGAATGGGAGAAGAATGGACGATTAGCAGGAGTGGTGAAGATGGTGATGCAAATTTTGCGGCAGAGAAGAAAGCGAGCAAGGTCGAAGATAGGAATTGTGTGGCCTTTAGACATGAAAGGGAACACAACAACATGGATAGTACGAGGAGAAGGAGAAGCCATTTCTCTGCACTCTGCTCCTTGGATTGTTGATATTTTTGAGAATTTGGGATCCTTCTGCATAAATAGATCCAATGTTTGGTAAATAACAAAATATTTCTCAAAGAGCATTTATATGTTATCTAGCTAAATATTATGAAGACGGGATGAGATGTAGAATGGGGGTTCGGGGGATTGAGTGGGTGGTGACGACTAACGGGACAATAAATTTGAAATGTTATCTATACAACTTGTTTTCTTTGCATGCATTTAGGAAAATCATTTTCCTTATCTTTAAGGAGCTTGTTTTCTTATAAAGATATTTTTCAAATATTTTAATAACCAAAAAACACATTTTACTTTGTATCTAACACACCCAAAGAATCTGACACTAATTAAAAATCACAAAGTTTAGAGAGAAATAAAGATTTTAAGATTTATTATCAAAAATTTTAAATGATTGTATGATTATAAGTGAAGAATGAAATGAAAATTTTAAAGTAAAATTGTTTCTAAATATAAATGAGGTAATAAACTTTTAGAACATACTAAAAGGAAAAGTATGTTATTATTATATAAATTGAGACATAAAAATCAAGATACTCTATTTCTAATGGTCTCATCTTATATAATGGTAATTAAAGAAGGGAAAATTGTATGAAATAACAAATTATTAATTCAAATTAAATGTTATAGTCATAGTTTATTTTATTTGTAATTCGCAACAAACATCCTATTTTTTTGCCATCTGATTCGGTATACAATTAACCATTTTATACATTTCGGTATAAAATGTGTTTGTGTTTGTATAAAGCGAGAGAAAAGTGTATATACAAATACAAATACATATATTTTCATCATATATACTTATACTTATACAAATACAAATCTTATTATACAAATTACAATGTATAAATGAATTTATACAAAACTGAACAATTTGTATACAATTAGATGTATCTAGCGAATTATACAAATCAAAAGCTCCATAGCAAACATAAAATTTGCTATGGAGCGCAATTATGCAAACTATAGCCGTAACATACGAATATGATTTTTATGTTTGTTATATGTGAAAGTTGCTCATAAAAGAAAGATTTGTTTTTTGAAATATAATGTATGAAACAAGCTATATAGTCAAAAAAAGAAAGACAATATATTCTTCGAAATAAAAAATAATAATCATTTTCATATAAAATGGAAAAGAGATCGTAAGAATATCCTTCGAAGACGAATTTAGACCACACTTCGTGTTAACATGAAATGTCAAGATCAATAATGCTAACTTTTTGGCAAATGAAAATGACATTTATGAAAAAAAAAATTGCTTATATTGAGAGAATGCAATAAATCAAATGAAAATTTAGCTTTAAGCAAATTTAAGTAGGGTCGGTTATAAATTAGTTAATTCATTCACTTTTACTCGTCATATTTAAATTTTCATTATTATTAACATAATAATGATTGACATGATTATTTTACTACACTATTTCTATTAATTTATATTTAATATTAGATTTTGAAAAACAATTTGAGGAATAAATAACTAATGATGCAAGGATAAAATATGAAAAAAATTATCTTTTTTCACACGTTAAAAGTAATAAATAAAAATATTTTTTTTAGAAATAAGAAACAAATAAAAATAGACACAGAAATCTTAAAACTTTCTAGTATGTCCATTGTTGATTGTACCAACGAAAAAAAAACACGGAAAGGTCCATTTTCATTTAAGTAAAACTAAAACAGGTGAGATTCAATACATGGATCCATTTGATTATAAATGTTTTTTGAAAAAATAAAAAATATTTGGGGGAAAATTTGACAAATATTGTTTAGCCATAAAGCTTGTCATTATTTAGCAATATTTGAAACAAGTTATCTAATAAAAAAGGATAATATAATCTTCGAAATAAAAAGAAATTTCATTTTCATGTGAAATGGAAAGGAGATCGTAAGAATATCCCTCTAAAAGACGAATTTAGACCACACTATACGTTAGCGTGAAATGTCAAGACCAATAATGTTAACTTTTGACAAATGAAAATCACATTTATCAAAAAATTTACTTATATTGAGAGAATGCAATAAGTCAAATGAAAATTTTATTTTAAACAAATTTAAGTAGGGTAGGTTATAAACTAGTTCATTCGTTCACTTTTATGATTATTTTACTACACTTTCCTATTAATTGATGTTTAATACTATTATATTTTTAAAAATGATTTGAGAAATAAATAACTAATGTATAAGGATAAAATGTGAAAAAAAATAATTATACTTTAATAATAATAAATAAAAATATTTTTTAAAAATAATAAACAGAAAAATCTTAAAGCTTTCTTGTATGTTCATTGTACCTACAAAAAAAACACGGAAAGGTCCATTTTCATTTAAGTAAAACTAAAACAGGTGAGATTCAATACATGGATCCATTTGGTCATAAATATTTTTTTTTAAAATCAAAATATTTGGAGTAAAATTTGACAAATATTGTTTGTCAATATAACTTGTTATTGTTTAGCAATATTTTAACAAACAATCAAAAATTTCTAAATACTAGAAAAAAAAATAGTAATTGCGTCAATTTCTATTATTGGAAACTTTTAACAATTTAAAAATTATCTCAAACTTTTATATCTCATAAAAACACTGATTATTTATAGATTTAGACTGAATTTAAATGTCAGTTTATCGTATAAATTATACAATTATATACATATTTTATACATTTTTATCCAAATTCGCTCTCCAAGTTACTTCTAATTATAAATAATAATAGTAGTTTTTTGCATATAATCAACAATATTTTTCTTTTGTTTTCTTCCTCTTTTTCAATTTATATTAGTTGTATTCATTGTTATGATTCTTCATTGAGCATGTTCACTATAAAATGATAGTAATACAAATTTATAAATATTTGTAGTGGAACCGAGTTGGATTCATAAGGACCTATAAGCTAGAATTGGTGAAGGAGACTTGATTTAGTTGAAGTTATTAGGTCGAGTAAAATATTAGAGAATTTTGTGTGTTAGAAAGAAGAATTTCATGTGTATTATGTGTAGTTTTGGCTCAGTTTGTGATTCTCTTGCCCCCTTTCTATGGCCTAGTTCTCATCCCCTTCAAGTTAGCTTCTTCCTCAGTTATTCTAAAATTTTCCCATTAATATTGTTCACTATTACTTTGTAGCTCTAATTCTTAGTTGTACTTTGGATTCAGTGAGTATTATATATATTAGTATTGTGATAAGAAATTCGAGTTATTACGATATTTTTAATAGTTTTAAATTTTATGGATATAAATTATATTTAAAAAAAAAAACAATTTTTCTTCTCAAAATTATGATCAACTGCATAATAAAACTTCACTCAAAAATAACTTGTCACGAATATTTAAACATTAGCTTAATTAATTATAAGCTATAAATGGAGAGGTCTATTTTCATTAAAGAAGACTATAATAATATATTTCACTATAGAACTCCTTGAAAAATCTTGAGATAAAAAAAAAAATTGCAACTAGAAAAAATGAATTAAATCTTCTCTCTCTATATTTGATTAAAATCGTAGATTCAAGTCACTGAAAAAATAAAAGATGAAAAGCTTTTTTTACCGATTTTCTCTCCCGACCTACACTCTCCCTCATTTAAAAAATAAGCAGGAGCACGTGCATGATGGAAAAGAGAAAAATAATAGTAAGCTTAATCTTAGTGTTTACGATAAATAAATAGATGCATATGATGTGATTGCGTAAGTTAAATATGATTTTGTATGAACACCGGATGATAATTATTTTACCAAATTTTGTGTTGTTAAAAAAGATCATTTCAAAGTTTGTTTGATTCAAAATAAATTGTTTTATCGATCAGTGTTAGTAACAAATAAACCCTATGAACATTTATTCTTCATTTTAAAAAAAAACATTAAACTGACAATACGTGAAAAATAATTAAAAAGTTGTAAATAGTTTAAAAAGATGTCAAGAATTATTATTCAACCTTAGCGGCTTTTCCAGACCTTCAACACTTCACGAACCGTCTCACTGATCCATCATACGTCTCAAATACACTATAATTATGTGATGCAAAGCAAACAAGTTCTTCTAGTTATTTCCGTTCGTTTCATTTTACTTGACTTTTTTACTAAAATTATTTTTTTCTTTTTTACTGGATAGTTTAGCAAATTAAGAAAATTTTATTATTTTCTTCTAATATTACCATCACACTTCTCTGTATTAATATAAAAAAAAAACATTAATTTTCCTTTATAGGAATGATACAAAGAAAATTATTTGTTCTTGAGAAGGCATATGACACATATTTGGAAAGAAATGAAGATAATTAATGAGATTCAAATTATTTTTACTAGTAAACATAATTCAGACTTGAGAGTTTTCTTACCTTCATTTTGGACGACACATAATTCATCCCAAAAATATAGTATAATGCTACCTTAAATTTAAACCTGTCTTCTTTCAGTTAATTCATGAATAAGCTCATTCAACGTTTGCCATGATGATCCACCTTCTTTTACTGCATTAATGGCTGCCTCTCCAATCTCTTTCACTTTATTCCTTCCCTCTTTTCCTTTCTCTCCTTCCATCAACTCCCTTATCGGCTTTTCCAGACCTTCCCACTTCACGAACCCTCTCACTGACCCATCACACGTCTCGACTCTTAGTCCAATCTTGATTTCCTCCACCACCATCCTCGCATTCAGGTGTTGATCAGCCATCATTGGCCATGCCAGTATGGGAACCTTTGCGCATATGCTCTCCATCACTGAATTCCAACCACAGTGGCTTAGAAAACCTTCAACGCTCCTGTGCCTCAAGATTTCTCTCTGGTCAACCCACTCTGTTACCATCAGTCCCCTGTTTTTTACTCTGTTTTCAAACCCATCGTCGACTTCATCTATACTTTTCCTGACTACCCACAAAAAGTTCACTTCAGATTTCTCCAACCCAATTTTGATTTCCTTGAATTGTTCAGGAGATAACTCTGCTTGGGTCCCGAATGCCACGTATAAAACTTGCTTCCCCTGTTCTAGCATTCCGTCAAGCCATTTGATGTATGAAGGTTTCTCCTGTTTTTCTTTAGACAGTTCGTGAACAGCACAAAAAGGTCCAACGCACCATGATTTAGGACTAGAGATGCGGTTACAGTAGTCTACATAAACAGATTCGAGCTCGTAAAAGCTGTTCACAAGTTGACCATAGCTTTTAGAGGTCGCCATAATTGACTCCATGATAAAATCAAAATGGGGACCCTTGGGATCACGATCTCTGAGGGGTGAATCAAAGTCATTTCTAGTGATTTTAATCCAGGGGAAATCAGGAACTTGGAAATACTCATCGTCGGACAATTCTGTTCTAAGAAGGGAAGTAGCTGAAATCGTCAAGGCCGTTGTAAATGAGCTCATGCCGTAATAAACAAGCCTCGGAATACCAAATTTGTTTGCTGAATCTAAAGTCCAGCCGAGAAAGCCATCAGTGATCATAAAAGTAACTGGAGGAAGAGACTCCAAGGCCTTTTCAAAATGGGGTTTCATCAATTTGGTGGCGTTGACAAATGTAGGAAAAAGGGTCATGGATGGAAGTTTATCAGTGCTCTCCACACCTGGTGGAACTCCTTGTATGTTTTGAGGAAAAGGGATTTCGATGATATTGATGTTGGTGCTGCCGGAAAGGGAATCGGAGAAGAATGGACGATTAGCAGGAGTGGTGAAGATGGTGATGCAAATTTTGCGGCAGAGAAGAAAGCGAGCAAGGTCAAAAATAGGAATTGTGTGGCCTTTGGCCATAAAAGGAAACAGAGCAACATGGATAGTACGAGGAGGAAGAGAAGCCATTTCTGATTTATCTGCACTCAGCTCCTCGTCTTGTTTATATTTTTGAGAATTTAGGATCGTTTCAAAGAAGACGTTTGGCCAACAAACATAATACTTAAAAGGAAAAGTATGCTATTACTTTACTTACCATATAAATTGAGACGGAGAGAATAATATATTATATACTCTAATGGTCTTATCTTATAATATAATAGTAATTAAAGAAAGATGGACTTATGAAATATATTTCTCATATATCATATATCTAAAAAAAGACTAATATATTCTTCTAAACAAAAGAAATATCATTTTTAATATCCATTAAATATATATACTGTAGTATCTTTTCTGTCCTTAAAAGAAAAGAGTAATATACTATTTTTTTAGTTTTTCTCAAATTTTCTCCAAAATATATTTATGACTATATACAGAAATATTCCTCCAGAAGACTAATTTGGACCGTTGTTTTGTGCTTGCGTAAAATGTCAAGACCAATAACATGTGTTGGTTGTGTCAACTTCTTGACAAATGAAAGTTACATTTATAAATGAAAGTTACATTTATGTTTCTGTTTTAATTTATGTGGTACATATGAAATTTGAAGTTAATCAATTTTTTAGTATGTTTTTATATATTTTAAGTTGCTAATTATTTGTATTTAGAGTATGTTTTACGTAAATATATTAGAAATCACAATAATTAACAAGTTAATATAAAAAAAAACTTATAAAAAATTCATTGACTTTTGAAATTTCATTTGTATCACATAAATCAGGACCGAGAAATATATATGAAAATTACATAAAACGTACTATAATTCACAATAATTAGCAACTTAAAATATCTATATATCTATATTTCTCCCAATTTATGCGGTATAGATGAAATTTTGAAAGTTAACAAAAACTTTTTATATGTTTTGAAATATTTTAAGCTATTAATTATTATGATTTATAATACTTTTTACATAAAAAAGTTGTTTATATAAAGTATAAAAGAAAAAATTTAGAAAAAGGTAACATAAATGTCAGCAGGAGTCCAATCTATGTTAATTTCTATATTTTAATTATTGTAATACCGATTGAATTTGGAGAGCCAACTAAAAATTTTTAAAGGAAATTTTTTATAAATTTTAAGTTGTTAATTATTATAATTTATAATATTTTTATTAATTTTAAACTAATATATGTTTTTCTCTGTCTCAATTACATGAGATATATGGAATTCGGAGAGTCAACTAAAATTTTAAAATATGTAAAGTTGTTAATTATTATACCTTATAGTACTATTACGTGATTTTCAAATAAAATATGTATTTTTTAATTTCAATTTATATGTCATTGATATAATTACATATATTAAGTAATGAAGAATTAATGTGTAAATTATGTGACACCTATGAATTTTGGAGTGTAAATCAAATTAGTTATATGATTAAAAAAAAAGCGGTTAATTATTACAATTTATAATACTTTTTATATATTTTTTAAATGATATATATATATATCTTTATGATATTGATATTAGTATTATAATAAATTAAATTTTATTATTTTAAATTTATGATCTCAATTGTCAGCCTATGCCACATTATAAAATGTTCCAAAGTAGATATCAGATTTACAAAAATGTCGATGCCAGCTAAAGTAATAAAATAACATCTAAGGGCATGAACCTATATATGTATATATAAAGCTGAATATTAACAATTTGATGTGGCATCTCTCTATGACCAGTATTTGTATTAATCTTTTTTTTCCTTTTTTTGATATTTTATATTTGTTTTGTATTTAAAAAAAAAGTATTTATGTCATACCCGATTAATTATGCCCTTTATAACATCCATTACACTAATATAGATTTAAGTAAATGAAAATGGAAGATGAAAAGATAAAAACTATTCATTTTTTATAACTGTTTATAATTATTTAGCCTATAAAATAAAAACAAAATAGTGGAGCATTTGTAACAAATAAGAACAAATTTCTTCACTTTGGCTCTTCTTCTTCTGACGATAATGATCAATATATGGTATCAACTTTTGTCGCTAAGATGTCTATCAAATTTCTAGGTCATGTGACTTTTTTAACAAAAGAGAAAGAGAGAATATCTCATTATTCTTGTGAAGACATTGATGTAAAGAAAGAGATTATGTAACAAAAAATTCTTTTCAAAATAAAAGACTTTTTGAAAAAATGTTTATTCCTCTTACAAGGAGAGAAAATTTATTGTGGTTGAGAAATTTATAAGAAGCCTGATTAGTGTTTCAAAGGGTAAGAAAAAATATTTGGAGAAAAAATCATTCTATTTATGGAATTCGTATCAAATTAGGAGGAGAACAAGCAAAAATTTATTTTGTGATTTGAAAAGAGAGAAAATTAGATATTATTTCTTTCAACCTCATTATTCTTCTAATTTCTTTCTTCTTTTATTTTGTCTTGATTTTTTGTATCTTTAATTAAAGTTTTTTTTCCTTATTTATCTTTAATTAAAGTTTATATATATATTTTCTTAAAAAAGAATTTAAAAAGATGATCATATTTAGTTCCTTTCCTCATCAATGCTATTAATCTCATAATTAGTGTTATTTATATTATTTTCTTAATTACTTTTTTTTCTTTCATTTAATTATTTATTTGAAGAAATTAGTTATTATAACTTTATAAGAATTACACATGTACTTTTACATAATTGATTTGTTATTTTTAAAATTTTTGGATCATTCTTCATCTTAAAGTTTCTATCTATATGCAATAATAAAGCTAAAATAGAAAATGTGGGATGACACCTTCTTAGCAATATATACTTATTTATTCTGATCAATGTTTCTGACATTTTTTCCTTAAAATAATTGTTGCCTCGATTTTTAGTTTTAGTTTTATTTTTTTAGCATTTTCTAATTTTAAAAGACTGAAAAATTTATATTGAAAATTTACAAAATATAAAAAATGATTTATTTTACTCCTATCATCATCAATATTATTATTAATTTGTTTTACTTCTTTTCTTAATCTTCATTTCATCATTAATGTAATTTATATCATTTTCTTATATATATATATATATATATTTGTGACATTTCTTAGAAGTTAGGATTACTATTTATTTAATTTTTTAAAAAATTTTTGAATTCTTTTGTCATACTAAATACAACATGTTTTATTATAATTACATTTAATATATTAATCAATATGTTGTACGAATGAAAAGAAAATTATCATTTCACAAAAACAAAGGTTAAAATATAATTTATTATGATTAAGGAAAGATAAAATTATTATTCCAATATCCATAACCATATATAATACATTAAAAATTAATTGAAAAGCTGTAAATGGAAAAGGAATCACCATTTAAGGAATCATTATTTTTAAATTTTTGGATCATTTCTTCTTGTAAAAGTTTCTATCCATACATAACAATAAAGTTAAAATAGAAAATGTAGTGACACCATTCTTACTAATAGATAGTTATTTATTTTTATTAATTTTTTTTGACAATTTTGGTTATATTTTTCTTTAAAATAATTATTGCCTTGATTTTTTTTAACATTTATTTTTAATTTTAAAAGATTGGAAATTTTATGTTAAAAATTTTAATAATAGAAAAAATGATTTATTTAACTTTTATCATCATCAATACTACTAATTTTTTTGACGTTTTTTCTTAATCTTCATCTCATCATTAATGTTATTTATATAATTTTGTTTAATCACTTATTTTTTCTTTTTTAACTCTTTTATATATATAAAGTTGGATATGTAAATGATGATGTGACATTTCTTAGAAGTTAAGATTACTATTTATCTAATTTCTCCAATTTTTGAGTTCTTTTGTCATACTAAATACAATATGTTTTATTATAATTACATTCAATATAGTAAACAACATGTTCTAGGAATTAAAACAAAATTATCATTTCAGAAAAATAAATGTTAAATTATAATTTTATTATGATTAAGGAAAAATAAAGATATTATTTCAATATCCCATAACCACATTCAATACATTAGAAATTAATTGGATATAACTGTAAATGGAAAATGAATTACGATTTAAGGAAAATAAATGTTTGCAATACCATAATAATTAAGGAGAGAGTAAGATATTATTTTAATATCCTAATTCGAAACTTTTAATCTACTACTCAATTAAAAATAAAATGCATTTAATAACATGAAAAAGTTATTAGTTTAATATTTTTTCTCATTGTACTAATTCAATTCAATCAAACTTAATTTTAAAGATAAAATAACAGCTTCATTTTAATTGTTGTCAATATATTTCAAAAAATTATCGTGAAAAGGCTTTTGTTGCACCTTATTTTAATTTTCATATACTATTATTATTTTTTTTGTCATTTTTCAACCCTGTAGTTCGAGCCCTTTTTTTTCCCCAGTTCCTGTACGTGGAATGATTTCCAGTGAGTAAAGTAGTCTGGGGGAAAGATAAGCCCTACCCACTATCCTTTCCCAAAAAAAGGGGGCCCGTCCTCGAGAGGACTCAAACTACAACTTATATTTAACTAACCAAAACCACCTCCCCCCATTATTGTTAACGCAATATGTACGGCTTGCGCAAAAAATTAACTATATATTCATAATTATTGGAAGCAATTATAGATATATGACAAGAGCTGTAAATTAGCTTCATTTTGTTATGAATTTTTATTTCGATTTAAAATTTAATGTTTATTCTTAAAACTCTGATGGTACAAATTAAGGTGGAGTAGAATATAATAAATGATGATTCTTCTACTAAATAAGAAGATATAACGAAATTGAAAGGGTGAAGGTTTTTTTTTTTGTACATGGATAGGAAATTCTATTAAGGTATCATTACGTCATTATTCAATATATTTTTAATATAAATTTCATTTGTTGATGTATTTGTTTAGTACTCCCTCTGTCCCTAATTACTTGTTTACTTTTCCTTTTATAGTTGTATCTAATTACTTGTCGATTTTGACAAATCAAGAAAGACTATTTTTTTACCTA